CCATCTTCCATCCATCCATCATCCATTCATCCATCCATCCATCCATCTTCCGTCCATCTATCATCCATCCATCCATCATCCATCCATCAGTCTGCAGGCTTTATGAACTGAATGAGATGAGTAAATATTTTAGTCATATTTTATGAATTAACAGTTTTTTAACAATGAGGACAGTTTGAGGACGACGAGGAGCCGTGTGGAGTCTGAAGTGAGTTTTTAAGGTTTAGCGTTGCAGCTGTTGATGTTTTTCTCTGATGGTTTTACAGTTTCTGTTTACTGGGACCTGTTGGTGTGAACCTGACGGATCGTCTCGTTGAGTTAAAGAAGACGTAACCAGAGGAGAAACTTTGTCACCAGCTCTCTGAGAAAACGTTCCTGTTCCTTTACTGGACAGGATCTGTATTTATAGACCTCACAGAGGAGCAGAGGGATTGATGGGATGTGACAGACCGTACGGTAAACTGTACGAAGGTCTACTGCTCCCTGGAGAGACGACCATCACCAGAAGACAAACTGGGTCTTAAAAGGAAATAAGACTGTAAAGGTTTTAAACGACCTCATTCATACAAACATGCACAAATACATTCAATTTTTAAATATTTTTAGCTGAAATTTTAACAGTCAGGTGGATTTTGAGGCTTTTTACAGATTTTATTTAGTAGAAAATTCAGGGATGTTACATTTTGATGTTCTTAGACCTGATTTCTCCCCCAGGGACCCACTTCACCTACACCTGACCTCCACGGTCCTCCTCACAGATGGGGGTCATGTGGAGGGCTCTGAGCCCCCCAGGAGGAGCTAAGGCTCCAGCACCAGGAGTGCCGGGTAGCCCCCCCCCCCCCCCCACACACACACACACACACACACTGAGACCACAAGTTCAGTACAACTCTCAACAACTACCACTCCAGATTTTCACTCAATATCTGTGAGATTAGCTGGGGCGGCCATCTTGACTCAGAATGAACATCCAGTGAATATTTCCTCAGTTTCATTAAAATATGGCCTCTGGTTCATGAGATATTTTGCTAACAAGGTAGATAAGAAGGTCTCCAGAGACATGACACAGGACTATGAGCTCATCAAAGTAACTTCACGTATCACGTTCCCCTCTTCCTGTCTCTGTCGCCATGGTAACAGATGCTGGAGCTGAGTCAGGGTTCATGTCAGAGACCAGTTTATGTAAAAGAAGCTCCTCTGAATGGATCGCAGCGGTTCAAACCTGAACCAAGAGGAGGAGGAGGAGGAGGAGGAGGAAGAAAGACTGACTGATGGTGGTCCAGAGTCTCAGGCAGGGCCTAGGGAGGAGAACAAATACAGCCACATCTTCAGGAACTAAAGGATTTGGCTTTTTGTGATTTAAAACGTGAGCTGTGCAGTGTGGCAGCTATGTTCACAACCCTGAGGACACTTTGCCATAAAATACGTCCATAAAGACACAAAACATCAAACCAATCTGCCGTCTGGCTTCTTAATTCTGCTTTAATTTCCTGTGAAACTGATTGTTTCCCTCTGCCAGCTGCTGTAGAGTCAGGAAATCCCTTCATAAAATGTTTGTGAGCTGCTGCTATTGATCCTCTGTATTGTTTTACATTATTAGTGTTTAGCATATATCTTAGCTTCTTATTGACTGTTTTTGTTTACAGTTTATATGTCTGCTGTTGTTGGATGTAACTGGGACCCTGAGTACATCGTTCCACCTCGTGTGGTGAGAACGACAATAAACTCGACTTGAACTTCGACGATTCCTCTTTTTAAACTCAGGGCTGGAAATCCCGATGACGTCACTCCAGACCAAAACGAATCAAGTTTTCAAACTGACCCTCTCGTCAACAACATCTTGCTGTGAGGTGAGGAACAAACATGAACATCGTACGA